TTCCAGAAGAATAAGAGAGTTGACTTCGGCCCACCGGCCATGTTGGATGAGGGCGCGGTCCGGGGGCAATCCATATATGAAGTGGAGGGTGAGGAGGACGAAAAACGCACCCCCAAAGGAAGATTGACGCGAAGGGTATTGCGAGACGGTACCAGATTCCCGTGGCCCCGAACGAAAGCTCCACCGATTAGCTCAAGTTGGCATGGGGGCTGCAATTAGGGGTGAACCCCCCAGGAGCCGGCAGAAAAGGTTGGCCATCGCTTGATATGTGCTTATCACAGCCCGAGGACGGCCGGGGGGCGGGCCTCACCCGGGACTCACCCCGAGACCCCACCCCGGGACGCGCCGGCTGCGGGTGAGGCCCCACCCCCGGGGCAGTGAGGGGCAGGGGCGGGGCGGAGCTCCTCAGAGTGAGGCGCCCCGGGTGCCCCCACCCCCCCCACCCCGGCGGCACCCGACCCGCCCATTCAGCTTTGCTCTTTCGTCTGGAGCGCGCCTTTCAGGGGGTAGAATTCTTAATCTTTTAGGCGTGGCGCTGGTGGCCCGGGGGCGCGCGGTAGCCGGTAGGCGTAGGTACGGGGCCGCGTGCGCGTGGGCTGTGCGGCTGTGGCCCGCCCGTGGTGCCCCTGCGCCCTGGCTGGGTCACCCCCCCCGGGACAGCGCATCGCGAGTGAGGCCCCGGGGTGGGGCAAGTGAGGGAGGGGGCGGGGACGGCCGGGCGCCGGTGAGCCCCGGGCGAGGCCCGCCCCCCCCCCGTCCTCGGGCTACTCTGGATGCTCCAGTCCTGCATGCGCACAACAGCATCCGCCTTTCTGACTTTGCACGCCTGCTCGGCGATGCCAGCGAACAACTCCAGCACCTTTGAGCGCGGCATCGCGGCCGTCGGTGAGTTTTCGAAGGTGCCTTGCTGCGCGAAGGCCTCCTTTATGAACATGTCTCGTGCGGCGGCGCCAGCCAGGGACTCAACGGCGTAGGCGCCCTGCATGGCGTAGAAGGCGTTGTGATGAAAGGGCAGCGCGGTCAGCACGACCGAGATCTCGTACTCGTCCCCAAAGGCAGCCTTGAGGTCGTCGAGCTGGTCGAAGACCCTCTTGCTGTGCGGACACTGGAGGTCCAGGTGGATCTGCCACTTCACCATCAACACAACCCCGGACCCAAGACGCACAAGCACAGACAGTCGAGAAAGGGATAGACAGCAACGACAGTCAGAAGTCAGCGCTGGGTCCCAGGGCGAATGCGATGACATGGGTTCACCCAAGGAGGCCGACTGTGTCTTGTGTTGCCAACTGCTTGACTGGTTGTAGGTGTATTGTTGGCAACACAAGACACAGAGCTCACAGTCGGCTGTCTGTTTACAGGCGCTGGCCGCCCGCGCGCGCGCCGGACCGGCTCCGGCACGTCCGGCGCTGGGCGGCGCGCGTCCACACTGCGCGTCGCGCAAAAGGCGAGCGCTCGCCGGCGGCCGGCGGCGGCGGCCGGCGGCCGACGGCCGACGGCAGACGGCAGACGGCAGACGGCAGACGGCAGACGGCATACGGCATACGGCTCGGCTGGGCGCGCACGCGCACGCGCGCGCGTCGCGCGCCACGCGTCGCTCCGCGAGGCGCGCGCCAACCACGATTCGAACGGGGCCAAAAGGCGCCTGGAGCGAACCGTGGTCCGGTCGCGCCACCGCGGCTGCGGGGTTGATAAGCAGGCCGGCTGCGGCTCCTGATGTACCTCCGCTTTTGGGTGGCGGTCGCGCGCTGCCGACGGCGCTCGCCAGCGCACACACATGCATGCATGCACAGACACACAGCCCCTTCCCCCCCCCCCTCAAGACCTTCCCAAGGGCGAGGACACGCGCAGGCCGCACCTCTAGTAAGGCCCGCATAGTATGTGGGAGACTCATGCCACCGCCCCTGCCACCCCTGTGTCAGTGTGCCCGTGGTAGTGAGAGACTGCCGGTGAGAAGCCGGAGGAAGGTCGCTAGAC